CCCCCCCCCCCCCCCGCGCCCCAGTTACAAGCGAAAGCCCCCAGAGGGGTCAGGACGTCTCGTCCCCGCTCCGGCCAGGGGTGGCTCCTCGGCCAACTCGGCTCGTTGTTGTCCTAAAGGGGCGCGGGGCTGTTCAGGGGGGGTTAGCGCGGCAGACTGGGAAAGCCCCCCCAGAAAGGAAGCAGCCCCCGGCAGCCAAGCGCCCTGAGCACCTGGCTGCGGGGAAGGCAGCCGGTGGCATCACACCTGGCTGCTGTGCCGCTGAAATCTCGACTCCGCCTGGTGCCTCGGCAGGTTGTGGGGAAGGGAAACTTTACCCGCACTCAGACCGGACCCGCGATCCTTCAGAGCCGGGCAGTGATTCCAGTGTCGATTTTTTTCCCTTAGTTGTGGCCTCGCTAGAAGCACTTTTAACCTGTTGTAATCTTCGCCGCTCCGCTCCTGATGTAAAAGGTTCTGGGGGAAGCTAGTTTTTCTCTGGCAGTGGCCCGCTTTGCTACCTGATGAATCATTACTTAGGCAATACGTGGCATTGGTCTCAGAAGAAAAATGCTTTTCAGTCAAAACATGGAAGACTCGCAGCCGTTTGAAACCTGCCCTGGTTTGACTGGCAATACAGATGCTTTGTTTTGCAATTCCTTAAAGGATCCCCACACGTGACCTGGTTTTTCTTTTAAAAATACCTGTAGAAAATGTGGGTCTGAGCCTGAGCGAGGCGGAGCGTCCTCAACTCCCCTTGAAAATCATGGGGCCAAATTTTGAGGTCCTGGCCGAGTTTGGTCTTCTGACCTCCAGGCTCTACGTTCATTGGAAAAGTAGGTTCCTCAGCACCCATCAAGAATTGCTCAGCACAGTTTGCGGGATTGGGGCCGTCATATCTGAGGTGAAATCCTGCCGTCACTGGAATCAATGGGATTTTTGCCATTGATTTAAGTGGAGCCAAGATTTCACCTTGATCTTTAAAGAATCTCATAATTAGATGCCTAATCCTGCTTCCCTTGAAACCATTGGGAGGTTTTTTTACCTTGACTTCAATTGGCCCTAGATCAGCCTCTTTGTACAAAAGTAAAGCATCTAGTAACGTGTTGAGTGCTGGGCAAATATTGCAGATAAACGTCCACTAATATTTGTCTACATTGTTCACACTGTGGTCCCCTTTTGCTTTGAAGATGTGAGCAATCAAATTTTACTTGCACAGGTATTTGCACCTGCAAAGTCACATATAGAAGAAATTGGGTTGTTGGAGTTTAAACATTCATCTATTCAGGGAAGAGAAAAGATACCATGTGACTTATCTAACCAATCTCAATGAAGCAACGCTTATTGACATTCAAATATTCATGATCATACCACAAAGTAAAAAAATCTGAAAGTTATTTGTCAAATTCAAAGAATGAATAAATCTGAGAAAATTGATATCTGTTCATGGATAAGTAGAAAGAGAGGCTACATTCATCAGATAAATAATTCATTGCAAATTATTCATTCTTTTCCAACACTCTCTTTGAAAATATATTGTACAGGTACATGAAAATATCAAAGTTTAAAATCACATCAAGACACCTTGGTTTCAGTAGTGTAGGTTTTTGATGTTTTAAAAAATAATAAAGGAATGTCTAAAAAGATACCCAAGTAAACATGAGTGACAATCTGAGTTAATCAGTTTGCATAGATGGTTCTTTTATTAAAGTCATAATATAATACTTAAAATTCTGATGAGGGAGACAGTGGGAAAACATTTTCAGGTTATGAATGTTTATGTTTAATTTAAGTAGTCTGGTTTGAAGACTCATTTTTAGAACTCTGGTTTTATGGGTTTATTTGTTTAATAATCACTATAAAAAGCCACTTCATTTATTTTTCTGGGTTTAACACCACCTGACTCTTATCTCAGTGACAGATCTAAGACGTAAACATTCATAAGCTGAAAATTTATTAAACAACCTCGTAAATTGATACTGGCATGAATAAAGTGTTAGATGTGAGTGTATTTCAGGTCAGTTGAAATTGTCCATTAAAATATTTTTAACCTATATCTGTGAAAATGTACAATCTTCATTTCAAACTGTTACATATCAAGACTCAGAAAATTCCAGATTTTCAAAGGGAAAATGTTGAAACACATAGGAAAAGACAGTGCCTTCTCTGAGCTGGAGGCGTTCTTTAGTGTTTTCCTCTTTTCCACATTGTTTAACAAATCCGCAACTAGTAGATAAATACAATTTAGGGTTCTGGCAAATTCTCTTTTTTGGTTGGGATCTGTTTGGGCTGAAATCATGTTGTCCAAATCAGTTCTATGGATTGCAGTCACACTAAAATAACACTTATGCAAAATTAGTTTAGTTTCTGGTCAATTAATATACAATTTTGGTCTTTTTATCATGTTTCTTTCAGGGGTGGAAGTTGGAGGCTCACTAGGTCTTAGATGGTTTTAGGAGTTCTCACAACAATTTTTTTGGTGGCCTCTGCAGCTCTGACAATTTTCCCTAAAATGTTTAATTAACGTTAGAAAAAAACAAATACATATGCGCATATACATGGCCAAATCATTGTAATTTATTTATATAGGATTTTTTTTTGCAGACTCAATATTAAAAAGAATGTACAGTTGTCTCTATTCTTTACTGGACCTAAACAGAATAGAAACACAAATAAGGTGCTTTGCAGGTTCTTGTCTTTTTTCTTGTTGTTTCTTTTGCTTGCTTTTTTTAAGACTTGCTAGCTACTAATATTAACAAATATCACTTTTCATAGCGGACTAACTCAGTCCCAGCAAACCTGGGGACAAATTAAGCCCTGGATGGGGAGGTGGGTGTGGAGGCAGCAGAGGGGTCAGGTGTGATGGGAGGGGTGAGCTTGGGGCTAGAGCCTGCCACCGTGTGGCTGGAGAATGGAGCCTGAACCCCATGGCTGGAGCCTGCCACCCACCACCCAAGATCTGAAGCCTGACCCTACTGCCCTGGGAACTCACTGCCTGCCTGCTCCTCCAGCTTTTGTGTCTCAAGGGGGGGGGAGGGATGGGGCAGGTCCCAACCACTACTGGCAGCCCCGGAGGAGGGGCCATTGCTTTGTCCCGTCCCCCCCCCATCACTGCCCAGGAGGCTGTGGCTGCAAGAAAAGCCCCTGGTAGCCTCATGCAGCCACAGTGGCTGCATTTGAGAAATGTTGCTTTTAACAGTAGCACTGTTTCCCAAAGGATTTAATACGTATATCTAATTTATCCATTCTTAAGTAACAAACTGTTAAAAAATTCCCCAGTGGTAATGTGCATATACTTATAGTAGAAATTGCAGCTTCGTGTCTCTTTTACTGATCTTAGGGTAATGGTCTGGAACCTGCATAATCTGTAGAAGGCAGACCTATAACAGTACCCCATAACGGTGATCTGTTTTTAACTATATGGTTTGGTTGCAGTCTAGGGGACAGATCGTCAAGTGGTGTAACTTACCATAGCTCCATAATGGAACTGTGACAGTTGACACCAATTGAGCATTTGTGTCAATGGGTTCAATCCTGCAAACACTACCGGGTGTAAAGCTTCCTACTAGGAATAGCCCCACTGAAATCAAGATAAGCTAAGTTAGAGAAATATACAGCTACACATAATTTTTCTGTAGCTTCTACTAACCTGGTTTGATGTGTGTATTGAAACCTACCCTAGAAAAACGGTGGTATGTTTTAAAACCACCACCATATCCTTCCCTGAAATAGTCATACTGTAGTCAATAGAACTAATCACAGTCGACAGCAGTACTCCCAGTGTTTACAGGACTGGGCCCTATGACATTAAGATAGGAAATTGAGAAATGTATTTCTTGTTTGAAATTATTCAAAGAGTGTTTTATTAAACATTTGAGAGTATGGATTACCCCTGAACTATTTGCTGTGACTGTTGCTTTGAATATTCACTGTTTTGTAATTTGCTATTTGTGTTGTGTGATTGGTCACTTAATTCACATGGGTATTGTTTGCGCTCCTTAACTGGATGGCTGACACATTTATAAACAGGAGAAAAGCACGAGCGAATCATTTATGGCTCAAGCATTTGCACAAATGCCTATTTGCACAATTATCTGCAACACGTCTGGCATGGATGAATGCACATTCACTTGGGTATTTGTGACACATTCTGCTTCTGTGGACATCCTTGCAAACAAAAGAAAATTTGCTTGTACAATGTTTGAGGCAAGCACATAAAAGGAAGTTACTATCCAAGGTGAATACTATAAGAGCAAGTTCATGGTTCTTACTCAAACAAGTAATTCATGAACACTTTTCCATCTCAGAATGCTCCGTTCATAGGAGCCTATACTCATGCTGTGCAAATAGATAGCTGTGTGTGGAAAACACAAAGATGAGTGAATGTATCGTGCAGAACTTATGGGTGTGCAACTAACTATTTCTTGGGCACAGTACATATTCTGCAGGTACAGCTGAG